GCTGTTTCACAAGAGCGAGGCTTGTCAAAAACAATTCTGACAGATTCCCTTTGTGAAGCAATTCAATTAGTCCAGACTTTATAATAAATTTGAGAAAACTGTTAGCTTTTTTTTTTTGCTTCACTTTAAGATGAGGTAGCACTTAAATCTGTCTAAACTTCTACTGGTACAGATATGCTAGCAAATAATGACAGATATAGGAAACCATACACCAATGATGTATCATCATACAGAATGTCCCATTTATTAATTGAGAGTGATAGCATTATGATTTTAAACTTTGCACTGATTCACCAGTAGGTGGTGTTTTTATGAGTGAATAATTTCATTCAGTTATTTACAAAACACTCATACTTTCAGTAGCAAAACACACATGGCTTATCTAAGATTGTATTCTTACTGCATACTGTATATAGTTGTCAAAAAACTGTACGTGACGAGAAGTATATCTAAAATCACAGTAGTTATACAGTAAAACAGCAGAAAAAGTACCACAATTACCTACTTCTTTCTGCAAATATCTTAAGTAAACTTACAATCTATACGTTTTTTTAAATAATGACAGCATGGAGAATGTTGTATATCTAGATTATATTCACATTACATGAAACATAATTGCAAAGTACTGTATGTAATTACTCAAAAAGATATGCGATTTCTAATGTGTTTTTAGGAATAAAAAAGGTGACTGTATCATTCAAAAGATTTTTCGCAACACTGAATAGTTATCGAATCATTGAATTAAAACTGTTGAGTCATTGCTCATATCATCACTCCAAACTATTGCCTTACTCACATTAGCAGCAACTTTGTAGCTGACTGTCGCTTAGGGTGGCGAAAGCGACCTGCCCCAAACAAAGGCCTGTGTAGGTCTACAGCACTGAGAATACAATTGGCCTCTGAGCAAGCTGAGAGAGGGTCACATGAGCTCTACAGGCTCTCCTATTGGCTGTCGTTTAAAAAAGTAATTCTTCATTTGCATAAAATGGAGGGATTCTCAACTTTGTCGCATCGCGCGACATGCCCTCCTGGTCGCCAACGGTTACTGTCGTTCACATAGTCGGAGGTTGTTGGAACAATTCTCCGTTTAAATGATTCTCCGTTTAAATGAGCGCTTGTTGCTTTACCGCTGCAAATCACTCGTAGTGTGAATTAGGCTTAATTCCTGATTCATTTAGGAATAAAACACTATCAAGTGGCATAACACTTTCTAATTTGACTTTTAGAGGAATCAGATTCGTTTGGTGGTACATAAATTAATTGGTAAAATGTAGGCTGCTTAATCATCACCTTGGAATTATAAGGTTCAACAGTATCTGACATTTTTGTCAAAATTGAGATATTGACATATTCTTATTAAATGACAATTTATTTACATTATGGGATGTTTTTTATAAGTTGTTTACATTTCAAGACTTTTTATTTAAAAAACAAATGTTACACACATTATGTTTGCTATATGGAAAGCAAAAACCGTGAAGCTCAATATCTCAAAATCATTCAGAATGCAGATAGAACCTTATTCTAAGGTGATGTAATATTGTTTATTGTAAACTTATCGTTTATTAAAATGCTTCTCTAATTGTTTGATCTTCATGGTCTTCATGGTCATGTCTTTTATTTAATGCAAAATATTACAAGTGTTGACGTCAGGCAGGCTAAAAGTTTTTAGCCTTAATCATGTTTGTTGTAAACATATTGTTTATTGAATTGCTGTGCAAGTCCTTAAATCATTTACTAATTTTCAGTTTTTGTTTAAAATTAACTTGAAAGCATTAATTACTCTTGCTTGTTTGATCCTGAAGATGATTTTCTAAACACAAAGCAACTGTTTGAAAGGCTAAAGACTGTTAGCCTGCTTGGATACAGGTGACGTCAACACTTCAATCGTAATATTTTGCATTGAAGCAAAAGCGAACGGCGTGGCATTAATTTAATGCCCTGCCATGACCATAAAGATCAAACAAGTGGAGAAATATCATTAAACCATCGGAATGTAATCTCATTTGTCTAAACAAACTGATCCAATGAACAACCCTAATTAAAAAGGCTGCCATAAACAAAAGCAGGCCAAGCCAGACGAGCCCCTCCTCTTTAACAATGGGGCACATTTATTTTATTAATCTAATGCATCATGTATCATATCATTACAGTTCAATATATCTATCATTAATTTTATTCCCTTCACTTAAGGCTTTTATTGGGATTACTTTGGTTATTAGTTGGTCTAATGTATTGGTTACCTCCAGATCCGGCGCTACGATCTCTCTCATCTCGCGGCATAAACCTGTGCGTGTTATTCAAATTGCCTCATTTATTATGATAGCTTCCTCATGTAAATTGTGCTGACTGCTCGCCCTTGCACAGTCCTCATTAGACTAATGAAAACCTTCAAACGAAAAAACTAAACAACCTGCCAAATAAAGGTCTGAGGTTATTATGAAAATTACAACTCTGGGAGCCAGGAGAAGCTCTGTTCATTAATTCATGCTCAGCAAATTGGTAACTAATTTAGTTGCACTCCTCTGCATTAATGGATTATTTTATAAAAATGTTTTCCACAGCCCGAGACCTTTGCCGCACACGTTAGAGAGCTTTGGATTCTAATCAAGAGGAGTGACATATTAAGCATGCCAAGCGTCTGAATGATAATGCAGCAGCGATGCAAATAGACAATGTGGATTTTCACTCGGTCGGAGAGAATCAGGACCAATCTAACTCAATTGATATCTAACGGGGCTGGAGGAACCGTGGCGTGCTGAGGGATTAGACGGATCCATCTCAGCGTCTCGATTGGGGACCGGCAGGAAAAAAAAAAATGTTTTGCCGAAACACGCGCATTGTGATAATGTTATCATAAACAGGCCAAGATGTCAGCGGTGTCAATCCAGATGTATAGTACACAATCAATCATTACAAACGTGAGATCCAGACAGAACAAAACACATCGACCGCACACACCAATTCTCCAAGGAGCACACAAACACCTCATCTCCAACCCCCCCGCCTATCACACCTAAGGTATGACCTGTAAATTCATATAATCATGCTAATTACTTTGATTCACAGGCTTGCTCGGTCTATGGGAGAGACCTACACAGCGCCGCCTCTCCGGGCAGATCCAACAGGGGATGTGCAGCCCAGTGATTTCCACCGTGGTTTTAATGTCATTATCACCCTCTCCAACACTTCCCCAGCCCTGCCTTTGCGCCTGGAGACAGTTCTCAAATCTATTATTTGCTTCGTTTTCTGTTTAATGCAAAGCATGTGAAATGACACTTCATTTTTTTTCTTTGCAAGACCAAAGTAAATAGTGAAAATGAATAGAAATTTATCAAAGGTTTAACTTAGTACTTAAGAGCAGGAGATGTTTTGACATTTAATTTGATTCAATTTAGTAAAGAGGTACAGGGAACCATGCTCAATGATTAAATATGCATTCTTGAAGTTAATGGAGTAAATGAATTGTAATGTTGTTAATGGAAAATGGACTCACTTTGTTTAGACCTTTGTGAAAATTATAAAAATATTTGTTCAGGTTGAATGAATTTCAGAATATCTAAAGGGCTTGACTGAATGCTAATGTAACAGTTATTATATACTTGCTCTTTCTTTCTCAAAAGAATCATTCAGCAAACAGTTATTATCAAATATCTTTGTATTATTATTATTATTTAACACAAAGAACATTTTGATACTCTAAAGAACCTTTCTCCAACATAAAGAAGCTTTTTAGCAACAGAATGGTTTTAAAACTGTCAACAGTTCTTCATAGAAGCAATGGCAACAAAAAAACTTTATTTTTAATTAAGTCTTAGGTGATTTTATTTGTTTTTCAAAGACATTTCTTATTTTCACCAAGGCTCCATTTCCTTGATCAAAAATACAGTAAAAACAGACACACTATGGATTATTATTACAATTTAAATATGTTTTCAGTGTTAAGAAGTTTTAAAAATGTTGCACTCTTTCTACTACAGTCCACAATGCAACATGTTCCTTTGAAATAATTCTAAAAAGCTAATTTGGTTCTCAAAATATAATCAATAACTAAATTTCTGCTTAATATATTTGTGGATATCATAGATTTTTGTCTTCAATGTCATTTATGAACTGAAATTCATATGGATTGTATGCAACCTTGATGTATAAGAGTATATTTTTTATTTTTACTGCCACAGAGCTTTAAAATAGTAGTTTACAATTGAAGTCAGAATTATTTATTCTCCTCAGTTATTTGCTCCATTAGATATTTTCCCCCAATTTTTTTTTAATGGAAAAGATCTTTTTCAACATATTTCTAAACATATTAGTTTTCATAAATCATTTCTAATAACTGATTTATTTTATCTTGCCATGATGACAGTAAATAATATTTTACTAGATATTTTTCAAGAAGATAATATTCAGCTTAAAGTGACATTTAAAGGCTTAACTAGGTTAATTAGGTTGAATAGGCAAGTTAGGGTACTTAGGCAAATCATTGTATAATGATGGTTTGTTCTGTAGACAATTGAAAAATATAAAGCTTAAAGGGGCTAATAATTTTTATCTTAAAATGGGTTAAAAAATATTAAAAAGTGCTTTTATTTTTATTTTTAATTATTAGCCAAAATAAAACAAATAAGACTTTCTCTATAAGAAAAAAATATCATAGGAAATACTGTTAAAAATCCTTGCTCTGTTAACTAATATTTGGGAAATATATAAAAAAAATGGCTAATAATTTTGACTTCAACTGTATATATTATGCTAGTAGCAACATAAATAGCTATGAAGAATACAGTATTTATATATTTAGCTTTTTGATTTAGCTTTTTTTTTGAGTGAAAGATACTTCAAGGAAAACATCCAAATGGATGAAGTGTTATGTACTAAGCAGATAATAACCCTATGACTTCATGCATGCAACTGCCAAACTTAAGCTAATTCACAGACACTTCCAACAATATCTGTGAGTTATTGGTTTCAGATGCAGATTTAGGGTATTGAACTCTGACCTTTCTCCAGATGCATTCTCTTGGCGTTATGGACGATGTCGTGAGCCAGATCGCCCTCTTTAGGCCCGGGTAAGATGCTGGGAGACAGACCCAGTAACGCATGGTTCATCGACAGCCCATTCTGATGCACAGCTTTGAGAGAACACAGAGACACATTATTCCCATCTCCACATGCTCTCAATCGACAACGCAAAACACCTCGAGTGATAAATAATGATTCTAGTTGAAAAGAGCTCTCGCCGTCCAGTGGCTACAGAAGGTGAATCTGTCCTTGGCTTTCAACTGTTTGTGACTTGTGGTATACCTCATCTCCAAATCAATGCGCCAGTCAATCAAAATCACATTTACCACTCTGCCTGGTGAGCGCAATTCTCAGTGCAATTCTCTATGACATCTGAGATGAGGGGACAGAACTTGAGCAACAAAAAAACAACTATAAAAAACAGAGCCTGTGGATTAAAATGGCTACACTAATCTGTGATTTGCTAAGTTGAAATATTATAAAAAATTCACAAAGTTGATTTCTAAAGTCACAGGTAAAAGTGACATTTGCATTTTTAGAATGTAATAAAAAATCATTACAAATTCAATTATTAATAATGATTATTGATACTGATAATAATGATCATTGATTAGCATATTATTAGTAAAAATTTAATCTGAGACTTGCGGCACTGTGGCTGAGTGGTTAGCACTGTCGCCTCACAGCAAAAAGGTTGCAGGTTCGCATGTGTAGAGTTTGCGTGTTCTCCCCGTGTCCGAGTGGGTTTTCTCAGGGTGCTCCAGTTTACCCCACAGTTCAAAGACATGCACTATAGGTAAACTGAATGAACTAAATTGATCATAGTGTATGAGTGTGCATGTGAATGAGAGTGTATGGGTGTTTTCCAGTACTGAGTTGCGGCTGGGAGGGCATCCGATCCATAAAACAAATGTCGGAATAGTTGGCAGTTCATTCCGATTGGCAACCCTGATAAATAAGAGACTAAGCCAAAGAAAAATGAATGAATGAATGAATGAATGAATGAATGAATGAATGAATGAAATCTGAGACTGGAGGATGCTGGTGGTAGCAAACTGGTGGTCAGGAGAGACCTCCACAAAATGATTGTAAAGCACTTGGAGTGTAAACCAACATGGTAAACAGACCCCCATAGTTTTTTTTTTTTTTTTTGCGATAAAAATTACCGATTTAGAATGGGTAATTCCCAGAAATGTGCAGACAATTTTGGAATAAAAAAAATCATTTCAAATAACTGATTTCTTCTATATTTGCCATTATGACAGTACATAATATTTTACTAGATATTTTTCAAAATGATAATATACAGCCTAAAGTGACATTTAACCAGGCTTAACCAGGTTAATTAGGTTAACTAGGCAGGTTAGGGTAATAAGGCAATTTATTATATACAGTATAACAGTGGTTTGTTCAGTAAACTATGAAAAATATATACTGTAGCTCAAAGGGGCTAATCATTTTGACCTTAAAACGGCTTTTAAAAAATTAAAAAGTGCTTTTATTCTAGCCAAAATAAAACAAATAATAAGAAAAAATATCATCAGACATACTGTGAAAAGTTTTTTGCTCTGTCAAACATCATTTGGGAAAAAAAAAAATCAATAAGGGGGTAATAAATCTGACTTCAACTGTATATACATATATATTATATATCTGTTACCATATATTTTTTACCATAATATTTACCATATTAGGTAGCCTACTATGTTAGGTGTGCAATCTGACACAATGACAATGACACAAATCATAAAAATAAAGCTTCTTTAACGGTAAAACGGTAAGGATTATTCCAAACACAGGTTGTATAACTCTTATTTTTATGCATGAACTTAATTTTCTCTCTCTCAGATTTTACTGCCCGGAGGATCTGTCATATACAGTAGTTACCTCACACATGGGAAATGCGATCGGGCTTTCACTACTGTAATACACCTAAAACACAAATTGCTGTAAAACTCATTTCAAGTAGTGTTTTCTCTCGTTAACTGCAGGGAAAGAGTTCAACAAAATCATTTATCAATTTTTCGAACATCATAATACCGGCGATACATGTAAAGCACAAATCCTTAAACCAATTTCCATAATTGTAAGCTTCTTGCCTTTCTGTTTATTCCATTGCTCCGTTTTTAGATATCTGCTCAGACTTTTTGCAGTCAGAAATAAGTATATTTTGATTATATGGTTTGAATGGTTTATGAGATTATTTAAGTTTTGTACGATTATTTTGCATGAAATTAAGAATTTTGCAGGATCGCAAAAATTTGCGATTTTTGGTTGATTTTGCATTAGATACAGCGATTCAGGAATCGCGTAAACTAGGTGGTCTGCTAAAAGCATTCATTATTTATTATCTTAATAATAATAAAAAAATATGAGTAAATTTCTTATTTATTAAAGAGAAGGATTTGCCTTAATGACAACATGAGCTGCATGACCTTCCTAAGTTTGTGTAACCTCTGTCGATGTTGATTAGTTAATTTAAACTTTAAGATCCAAACTGATTCTTGAGCTTTAATAGAAACAAACATATCTTAATTGTGATCCGGTAACTGAGGGAATCTAAACGCATACAATATAACTTTCAGAACTCAAAACACGTTTCTAATCAAAATAAACAGTTACTCGTAAAGAATAACTTCATAAAACATTGGCAGCATATTTCAGAGATGACGAAAAACATCCACGCTCTTCCAGTGATTAAGAACATTGTTTTGATTTTATGGCACAGCTAATGATGAAAACATTGGAGGTCTGTTTTTGCACAACACTTGCCGGAGCAAAATTTAAAGATTGCTAATATCCCCCCCCACCCCCCCATCTGTTGGAGACAACAGAAAGCATAAAGGGATGCACGTGTGCTCCGGGCTTAACAAGGGGCATGTTTAGTGCAGTATTTAGCAGTGCGTGTGTGACAGGGGAGAGAAATGGAGAGACAAAGAGAGTGGGAGAGAGAGATTTATGAGGTGAACATACGCATTCTGTCGGAGGAGCTCTCGGTGTGTGCTGGAGAGCTGGAGACGCTGCTGCTGCGCTGGGACGAGGGACGGCTCCCCGGCCTCCTGCCGTCTTCCAGAGAGGGGGCAGGGGAGGGACTGTCGGGGACCCGTTCCTGCACAGCCAACAGGAAAAACAAACACAGCCGGGGCGGCCATTACATGACACACTCTTTTCAGCCAACACACCTTCATGGACAGAGAAGCATCCATGCTGCTGCCTCGTCTTTTTATATGTTTTTTTGCATTTTTGGATATAACCCCTCCTCCCTCCCTTCACCCATTCTCTGCATCTTTGCTTTCATTCTTTCACAGGCTATTGTCTGAAACACTACCCCCTGCAATGCCGTACCAAAAGCACGGATCGCGCACCACCCACCTTCCCCCAATGGCTGATGAGAGAGAGAGATGTGCACGACACAATGAGAGAACGGCGCCGTGGGTTACCTTAATCACTGATGTCACCATTCGGGATGGGGCACTCTGTCCCTGTGCTGCGGCGGCCATATTGGCGATGGTGCTGAGGTGGTTCATCTGACTCATCGCCATTGTGACGGATGCGGGAGGCAGGCTGACAGGGATCAGGGGGTGGGGCATCATCATAAACGGCAGCTCCAAGCCTGCAGATGAGAGACCAGAGCGGCTGATTAATTAATCATTTCTGGCATTAAGTTGTGTGCAAATGGAAGATGCGTGTGTGACGGAAAAAGAAAGCAGAGCGCTGAAGAGGAGAGGACGATTTAAAGGAGAAATGCTATGAATTATTCACACGTGACCTATTGTGCGGGGAGAGTAAATATTCATTAAATAATAATCACCGCATTAGATACTGTGTTACATGAAAGCTGTTGATGTCTATAAAGAAATAAGGAATCGCAGCACATTTAAAAAACCATTACGGTCATTAGAAACATAAATATTCACTTTGGCTGTTAATAATATATGCGGCTGTTAATAATATATACTGTAGCGCTGTGGTGATTAGAGTTATAATAACCAAATAATTGTTGAGATTTAAACTAATCTTTATTGTGCTGGGAAATGGAAGAAATTATGGAAATATTTCACCATTAATAGTAAATGCGCTCAAAATAAGGCAAAAACATGAAAGGCATTAGTTAAAATGAGCAAAAACGAGCCAATTAAAACTAAGTGTGTATCATGAGATGCCTACAAGCTAATTATGTGTATTTGTGCCAGAAACTCCATTACTCGTATAAAAGAGTGCATTCACAACGTCATTTGCAGGTCCTTGATAGCTACATGGTATTGAAATAATTAAGGCATTCAAAGATTCGGAAGAGGAAAACCAGATCTTGCAGGTTAAACTCGTATATATAACTAAGGCGAACTGTGCTACATTCTTAGACAGTGATTAAATGGGTAGAAAGGAAGCTGTCCCGCTTTTTCAAAGGACATATGCACACAAATAAGGTCACAGCCTGGTGTGTGTCCCTGAACTAAAGACCCACTCACTCCCACTCCTGACTTTGAACTAAAGGATCAAAAGTAACGCGGAGAAATTTCGGTCAAAGGCACCACTCCAGCACTTGAAAGCAAACTTGAGGCTTCGCATCGGATCCGATCGAGCACGCAGGGCATCCTGTGCTCTCCGTCCCACACTTTCCCCTTTATCGCCCGGCTCAAGGTAACAGGAGACTCAGAGGGATAATCCAGTGAGTTGTTTTTGTGCAAAATATCAGGACTACACACACAAAAATAAGAGGAGGGGGCCCTTCAGTGTCAGCGCTCCTCAGAGAAGCATTGTGCATTTCCATAAGAAAGATGACCAGATGCACAGGGAAAACACATTCCCCGACATTAAAAAGGAGGCGGAGATTAAAAGAACGAGAGGCCAAGCAGCACCTTGTAAAGGCGTCTCTCCTCGAGTGCCGAGTCTGAATCAATTACCGCTCGCAGGACCGGACTCAATTAAAACCTGCCACGGCGCCAGCGTGTGATTGCAGGATACTTACAGCGCCACGTCCAAACAAATTGAGAGAGGCATTCATGCACATATCTACCTTTCAGAGCTTTCGAGAGCCGGATTGAGTGCCGGCGCGCCTTTGTGATTTGCTCAAGAAGATCTGACTGGATTTCAGGAAATCAACATTTACAAGAGAGCGGAGAAACGTATTAAAGTCTGATATGACTTTGCTTTTGTCATTTAAATGGGCGTCCTTTATCAGCCCGCCGGTGAATGATGTCTGTTGTGTTGACCGACTTCACAAAGAAGAACCACCGCAGGCTTACAGTAGCAGACTGCTCTCGGGGGTCTAATCTCTCTCTCTCTCTCTCCTCGTCCCACCTCCTTTCATGTTTCGCCATCCTTAAGTGATGTTTCAGCCATAATGGCCCATTGAAAAGTGGAGAAAACATGATACAAGCTAAAAGAGGTCCAGCAAAGCTTTTCAGACAGACTGAAAGGCGATGAACTGTGGATGTCTAATTCAGATGTCTGATGAAATAGTTACATTGATCATCAGCAGTCTTTTTGCTTCTTTTGTACTTTTTCAAGAAATTAGTCTAAAAAGAAATAAAAGTTTTTCTTTTTACTACATTAAAGTATTTATCTTTTTAATAAAGACAGATTATTGACCAAAAATAAATGAAAATATTGAGCACCTGAAAAATTATTTACTTATGTGCACTTCAAGAGCTGATTTGTGTTCTGTCAGGTTGCAGATCTTTGTTCAGCTGAAGATACATTTAAAAATGAGATATCAAATTATTCAATTCAATTTAATTCATGTTTATTCTATTGCAGATTGTTTCAAAGCAGATTAACCTAGAAGGTCTAATGTTTCAGTGCAGTTTTCAACGTTGATTTTTAGTTTAGTTCAGTTCAGTTTGGTTTAAATTTCACTGCTCAAAGTCCGAACACTGAAAAGCAAATCCATCAATGTGCAGCCCCACAAGTCCCATCCAAGCAAGCCAGTGCAAGCCATTATCGACTATACTTATTATTTTAACATTTCTGTATTCTGTTTGTATACAGACCATTAAAAAATCTGATTGGTCTATGCAAAATGATTGTTTTAAAAAAATCTAGTTATAACCTTAATGAGTTTCATGCAAGGTTAATTATACATTGGCCAGATCAAGCGGGTCCTTCTCCAGTCAGTACTTGCTGTTGCTCTGATTTTAAAAAACAACAAGTGGACATGACAGCAGCACGGCATTAAATACAACCTGAGCAATGACTTAAAAGTATTTATTTGACACATTTGTGCCCAATAATGGGTTTTATTTCCATACTAGTGATCCTGATCATGAACGAATCATTCTTTTTAACAAGATCTTCTAAGTGAACCAGCTGAACTAGTTCACCAAACCGAACTAAATCATTTGAAATCTCTAGCACTCTTTCCCAGACATCCCTTTCTTTTTAAATTGCACCATGACTTGAAATAAACAACTTTTCCTGAGTTATTCAGTTATTAGAACAGTACACAGAGATCAGATTTGAGAACCGGTAAACTAATAATACTGCACATGCATAAATCAGCAGGTGAACTGCACACAAACAATACATGACAGCCTATTGTGACTGAACTAAACTTAAAAACTGCAAAGCGGGTAAACCAAGAGCTTTAATGAGAGGATGTGGTGAAAAAACGTAAGTTTATTTTAGAATAGAAAATTGTGATGGATTTTTTAATAAGTGAGTCTAACTTCGGTTGGGTTAAAAAAAAAAAAAACTTATATAAGAAACTTTTCAGATCATGTTGATGTTTTAACTGACTAAAATTTTAATTGCTGACATATTTTTGACATGTTAAGTCCAAACATTGGAGGATTGTCACAAAATATCCTGTTAACATTAAAGATCCAAAGTTCCCATTACTACTGTGTATCTAGCCACAGAAGCAGCCTTGCACACATATTGTACTTAGGGTTGCTATCTTGTGGGCTGTTGTATTTGAATTTGAGAATGGGTAGATGGCTGTGTTCATGTGTCCTATTACATGTTTCCAAAAATGTATCTTTATTATTTAGTATAATAGTGTTAGTTTTTATTATACAATATTTATTCTAATGACTTTAAATCTTGCACCTAACAAATATCCTTATTTACAAAAAAAAACAAAAAATAAAAAACTAAAACTAACACTGAAACCAATAAACAAAAACACTGATACAAACTAATAATTTTACCTCTAAAAACGAATTAAAACTAACTAATTATAAAAACAAAGTTAAAACTAAATAAAAACTAAAACTAATGAAAAATGTTAAACCATTGTAACCTTGGTGTCATGTGGTATGACTATGAAAAAATGCTAATTTTTCTAGCTTCTTCTACCATGCTTGTAAACATTTTTTAAAGGTATTGCACACACATTCACAGTCTGTGAACCTAATACTGAATACTAAATATAATGTATAAAATATAGAAAAATATTTTTGCAGCAGTATAATTTTCAGATTTTTGACCTGACAGACTTTGAAGTTTAAAATAACTTCTGTGAAAATAAAATGTAAAACATTAAGACAAGATAAAGTGTTCCATCATTATTTAGAGTAACAGTTACAGTAAATGCATTCAAAAACCTCCAAGTCAAACATGTTTGTTTTTATTGGGTAGTGAAAATGTTGATGCTTAAAAAAAACCTTCATTTGTGACCCATGCCAGAGTTTTATTTATTTATTTATTTTTTGATGTGGTCAATAAACATATCTGACTTTTAACACCAAAACAAAATTCATAATGAATTTCAAGTAATTTAAAACACATTCATCATACAGTAAATGACGGCGTGATCTTCGTCTTCGGCTTTCTGAATTTAACTGCTAATAACCATTTGGAAGAAAGCCTACTCCTTTTGCACTTTCCTCACCTGCCAGAGGGATAAACTGCCATAATTTGCATGAATAGCAAGCAAGATATTATTGTCAAACAGATGAACTTTGATTTCCGTGGCCCTTAAAAGCGAGACAGATTGAAGCAGCCATTGTCTGTCGAAAGCTGGCCTTCAGAGCGCTATAGCAGCCTGCATTATCCAGTGAGGGAGGAAGCTTTCCCTTGACAAAAATTAAACCAGCTCCTACTTGGCACTTTATTATCTCTTCAACTGAGTGATTTATTGTTTGTGGAATGAAAGCAAAAGAGGAGGAAAATTACATTTTCAGCAGCGCCCGGGCCCGTTCTGCCTCTACTCCTCTGTCCTGGAAGAGCTCACGACAAACAATAATGTCAGCTGTAATTGATCTGAGGTCGCCGGTTAGCCCTCCAGTAAAAGCCCACTATTTAAGCGACAATCCGCCCTGCCTGCTCCTCAGATGCTGTCTAATGAAGCTGTCCATCTCTGCTATTTACCTTCTCTTAAATGGAAGAGGAAAGATGTACTGTATGAAGCCGAGCCAGGGAAGATTTGCTTTCCTCCCGTGAAATAGGACCTGCAGATGCCGCTGGAATGTGTAATTGGCTGCTGGAGTCAGAGACGGGGGTTCCAGCGCTAATTAAATGACTTGTTTCTGGCCTATCCATCTTTGTTTGTGAGCGCAACGCCATGGAGCAGTATGTTGTAAATGCTCTTATCTAAACAGACGTTCTCTTTTGCTCGTCCCTTTGATTTGAGAGCCAAAATCTTGCGCCTTTTGAAGTAGCTGTTGAATC